ATAGAGACAGAGAAAAGTAAGTAAACGAAACAAGGCTTAAGAAAAAGGTCAAAAAGCTTGAGCAAAACTTACATATAGATTAATGAAATCCCAAACCGTACATCAACAAGAAATGGTCTGTCAAACAAACAAGACTATCTACACACGAGACATCTGCGTATAAAGAAGTTGACATTTTTCTGTGCTTCCTAATTCCTAATAAACAAAATTAGATATTTGCTCCAATAACGCAACATAAGTTTACTGTATTCAATGTTTTCTCTGCCTAATATAGCAGGTGCAAAGTGCAATATGCCAACTCAATTGGTGATGGACCAAGTAACAAAAGGATCCTTTTCACATACCAAAAAGAAAGCAATTGGAGTAGCAAGGAAGAAACAGAGCGCTGTCTTCAACTGCAAGAGGTTGCCTGAAGGGATTTAACTGAATCTGGGTAGCAGGAAAAAGACAAGGAGAAAAAGGAAAACGAAGTGAGAGGTGGAAATGTAGAATTGCTCATCAATTAGAACAAAGAACAGCACTGACAGGAATGCTTGGAGGGGAGCTACTAATTGAGCTAATGCAATGAGTTGCGAGATGAGCAGCTTCTTCACAATAATCTGAGAAAAGTGCCGGAACTTTCATCTCCATTATCAGCTCCTGAGAAGACGATAAACTTTCAAAAGGTAACCAAAATTCTAATGAAATAGAGACCTACAAGTCACACAGCAGGACTCACATTAAAATATGTGTGAATAGAGATTTGACAAGGATTTGAAGACTTACAATTGTTGGTAACCAGCTCCTATAAGCAGCAATACCAGCATTTGGGGCAATTATTAAGTTTGGAGAAGAATCCTGACAGAAAAACAAATCGCAAAATTTGTGAGAATGTGAGATAACAGTGAACTGTTTATAACAGAGAAATCAGGATGGAAACCATATTGGGGCAACCTTTGATAGATCTTTGTAACGATCATGATAATAACCTGCACAAAGATGCAACATGACTGGACAAGATTTATCCATGGATGAGCAGGAGTCAACATTGATATTCAAAGATTTGCATTCACAGTCTGTCTCAATGCAATGACAGTAACTATGAAGAGCAATCACCTCACCGTCCCTAAGAATCAACACACAAAGCAAGTATTCTCATTAGAGAGAGTAAAAGATCAGCATCATCCCAACTAAAAGGCCTTGAAAACTAATGAGAATAAATACTTCAAAACATTACTAATTTAGTCTTATCAGGATTGATAAAACATATAAAGCTAACCTGAGCTCCAGATGTAGCTCTTAGCTGATGAAATTAGTTACCCCTACAAGGTGACACTTTGACTTACCTGTCTTGTGGAACAGCATTTCCAACAAAATATATATGCATCCTCACTCCAGGGAAAAGTGCACACAATTCTCCAAAGACTGCGAGCTGATAAAGCTCTTTTTCTGGTCCTATATACATTAGATCAAGAAGCAGAACCCCAACTTAGTGGCATAATAGCATGGTTAAACTCATGAGCAAGGGATTAAGGAAAATGAATTGGCACTTTCATATACATTTATAACCGAAAGTGAACAAGAGAGTAAGGTACATAAGTAAATATACAAAGTCTTATGTGTGTATAGCTCAAGAAGAGATACCTATATAATGTATGTGAATTTCACTAGCAATTTCAGAAATCAGGCTTCTCATAATTGCAAGCTGAATGCCCCAATATATGGTTAGTGGCTGAAAAAGAGGGGACAAAAATACGTGTTCAGAGTATACAATTGCATAAAATAAAATGTGCATTTTCAATTGCAGTGAAAAAGTTTCCACAAACCATAAATGCTTTAGTAGGATTTACCAAATGGGGTAAGACAATTGAAATGAAATTTCTTAACAAATGTACATGGCATGGAAAGAGACTAAAGTTCCTCGTTCACCCAGCCAATCACCCACATAAACACACAACATACCCAGTGAAGAAGTAATGCAACAGGAGAATTTAGTGGGATGCACCTCCATTCGTAGTATTCCTTCCAATTACTTATACGCTTTGGTATTGGTAAGGACGGCCCTACATATTTATGCCCATCCACATCAACTTGCAGAAGCACCAATCACAATAATAGTCTATAATTACTTCTGAGAAAAGGAGAATACCTCGACAAGGGCATAATGTGTTCGAGAGATTCCATCCCTCAATGTACCTAAGCACAAAACAAACTTCAAGGATAAGTTACAATGATTGTGTTAGAACCAAGTTCATCAATCATCACAAAACCTCAGCTATGCTTCTTTTTGGCATTACAGCGAACACCACATCATCTCAACAAGGGGATCATACTTCTTCACAAGCATTTCTCATGATTAAAATTAATCTCAAAGGAAAACCTTGATACATCCAATGAAGCAACTGATGCTCCACATCCACACTCCCATGTCCACATTCCCACACAATGAACTCCCTGTGTTACCAAGAATGAACACCTCGACTGGCTTTGCTCACATACCTGCCAAAGTTCTGCTTTTTTCATCTAAATAGTCCTGACCCAATAGATGGATAAACTAAAGATGATATTCAAACTCAAAAATTCCACTTCTTACCTTAACAGTAGCTTCTTCAGTAAAGGTGAAGGGGAAATCACTAAGAACATCAGCGCGATTCATTTGCTGTTCTAACCTTTCGCACTCTTTCTTATGAACACTCCAATGTGAAACCTTAACGCGGTATATAAATAATTAAAATTTCAGATAATAGCCAATTAGCCATGCGCTGTAAAGCAAGGCCATTGGAGCTTTACATATCTGTAAAATTAAATGCTTTAAAAAAAAGCATATGAATATATAGAAATACTTGGTGAGAGATTGAGCAGTAGGCAACGGCGCGGCAGCGGCCACAGCGTCTGGTGGCCTGGCCGGAGCATGGGGTTCGACTCCCCTTTCCGGCGCACTCCATTCTTCTTCCGGCGAAGACTATGCTTACTTGTCCATCGCATTGTCTTTGCATACTTCGAATTGGACCGGGCCTTAGTTAATACTAGCCGGGCACGTAGCTCAAAGCCCAATGCAAATTTAAATTTTGAGTAAAAGACATTTTTGGTCCTAGACTTTAGGGCACAAACAATTTTAATCCTCCATAAAAAATCCTCCATAAAAAAATCAGACAATTTGTGGACACTTTTATTGTGACGAGGAAAATTTTGATCCTCCGTCACTCTTCTCGTTAGATGCCCCGTTTGAGGGAGTGTATTTATGTCTTTTCATAATACCTCCTTCTTGCAACCTTTTCAATGTCGTTCTCAGTTGCAATTACTTCTCCACGGCCATCGTCGACGAAGAAGGCGGTCGGAACTGCGATCGGAGCTACCGCGGCAGGGGTATTAGTTCTATCGGGGATTTTCTTCATCGTTTTCGTTAGGTATTCGTGGAGTAGGAGGAAGGGACGCGGTGCAACTGCCGCAACTAATCCTTACCCTAATAGCAGGGATGTAGGTTCTTCGAGACGAGTTTTCGAGGTTTGGAGGGAAGGTGAAGGGGGTAAGTTGATGAGGAAGGGCTGGATGTGCTTTACTGGAGGAAACTGGAGAGTAGAGACGCGAAAGAGAGCTTCAAACGACAGGTTTTCAACAATGGCGAGAAAGTGGAAGAGAAAAGGATGGTTAGGAGGGAGAGTAGCAAGAGGAAAGGTAGTGGAACGCTAATTCATGAAATTCCTCTACTTAGAGGCAAGTCTTCAACCTCTCAGGATCCTGCTTGGATAGAAGAGTGCTCTACCTCCTTCGCCGCCACCGCTTCTGGCGATTGAAAAGAAGAGTGCTCCGCCTCCTCCGCCGCCGCCTCCGCTCCTGGCGGTTGAAAAGAAGAGTGCGCCGCCGCCTTCACCGCCTAGTCCTGGTGGCTTGGCAGCGTCGTTTAAAAGTCAAAAGCCGCCTTCGCCGCTACCACTTAAAGGAATCCCATGTGATAAACCCTCATCAGAACAAGGCACTTCAGGAAATGGAAAGAAACAGGTGAAATTAAAGCCTCTGTATTAGGATAAAGTGAATGTTAATGCTGATCATTCTATGGTTTGGAAGAAAATCGTGGGCGGTTCCTTTAAGTAAGAATTCTAATTCTTCAATCTCTCTTCATTTTCCTCCCATAGTGAATTAATGAAATATATGAATGGATTCTTACCCTTTTTGATTTGCAATTCAGGTTTGATGGAGATCTTATGGAAGCCCTATTTGGATAGGTTGCTGTGAACCGGAAATCACCTCAAAGAGACAGAAGTTCCCCAGATAAAAAAGGGGACATAGTAGCAGTAGGGCCAACCCGTCATATCTTCATTCTTGACACAAGGAAATCACAGAACATAGAAATTGTGCTCAAGTCTCTTGGAGTTCCCCGGAGAGAGATTATGGATGCACTCAATGAGGGACAAGGATTAAGTGCAGAAACTCTGGAGAAGCTCTGTAGAGTTGCCCCAACTAGAGAGGAAGAATCATACGGGGGCAAGAAGGAGGGAGGTATGATGAAAAGACGCAAATACCCTCTCTAAAACGGGGCATCTAACGGGAAGAGTGACGGATGACCAATATTGTCCTCGTCACGATAAGAGTGTCCACAAATTGTCTGATTTTTTTTATGGAGGACTAAAATTGTCCATGCCACTATAAGTCTAGGACAAAAAATGTCTTTTACTCTTAATTTTTTTTTGAATACAACATAAATTTTAATTTTACAATGATGTTAAAAGAATACGACTGTAATTTTATTGATTACTATTGACAAAAAATGATTGTAATAATTAGCTAATATTTTTACAGTATTTGATTTAAGTTAGTATTGTCAATTTCTTCAGACACGTTAGCATTAATAATATCTTGATAGGATCATTGTACCACTAAAAAAATAACATATAACATAAGACATATCACGTCGATTGTAGTAAAATCGTCATTACAACATTAAATAAATTTAGAACTTAAAAAAATATTTTAACGTCAGTTGTATAAACTAACCGACAATGTTAATAATTACATAATTATTTTCAATTTTAAAAATAATGTGATGTCGCTTTTTTTTTTTCTTTTTTTGATATCAATTTTTTTTTAAAAAAAAATAAGTTGATTCATTTAATCATATGCTGAAGCGAATACAAATAGGATCGATAGAATGCTATACCATTCCTTATAGTCAACGTTATTCGGGAGGTTCTAGCCCATCAGCTCATTTGACGGTTCAGGATGGATATGGGTCTGGTGTTCCTCTCACTTCTCAGACTTGGTACCCGGATACGGGTGCAACTCATCATGCCACTCTAGACATTAGAGCTATGTCTGTGTTTTAGGAGTACAATGGTAATGACACTCTACGTGTCGGTGATGGTACGGGCTTACCTATTTATCATGTTGGTTCTTTTCGTATGTCAAATATTTAGCATGTTCCTGGTTCGTTTGCGCCTCTTCTGTCTGTTCAGCGTTTTGCTTATGAGAATCATGTGTTTTTTTAGTTTCATCCTGGTTTTTTTTTGTTGTGAAGGATATTGCCACCAAAATGGTTTTGTTTCAGCGCAGTAGTTCTAGAGTCTTGCTCATCCCCGTTTGCTTTTCTTTTTGCACGTGCATCTACCTCTATCTGGCATAGTCGTCTTGGGCATCCTCATCAGCGTGTCCAGAGTCATATCTTGAAGTCCTGTTAGGTTAGTGAGTCTAGTCTTGTTAGGTTAGTGAGTCTAGTTATAATAATGATTGTTCCTCTTTATGTACTGTGTGTCTGTGTGTCAATTAGGGAAATATGTGTGCTTTCCTTTGCCACGTGTTGAATCGTCTAGTTTGCATGCTCTTCACTTAGTGTACACTGATATTTGGGGTCTAGCGCCTCTTATGTCTTTTGGTGGTTATAAATACTTTGTTTTTTTGTGGATCATTACACTCGTTATATATGGTTTTATCCAATGCGCTTGGAATTGGATTTGTATGAAATTTTTGAGCATTTTCGTGTCATGGTTTAACGTTTTTTTTCTTGCAAAATAAAATCTATCTAGTATAATCTTGGTGCTGAATACAAAAAAATTACATTCTCATTTTCTACAATTGGGTTAAATCATAGACAACCTTGTGTTTACACCCATGAGCAAAATGGTCGTGTGGAGCGTAAGCACATGCATGTTGTTGAGACCGGGCTTACTCTCATGACCCATGATTCTGTTCCATCTCGTTTCTGGGATTTTGCCTTTGAGTCTGCTGTCTATTTAATAAATAAATTGCTTACTCCTACCTTAGGGAATTGTAGTCCTCACTGCATGTTACATCTGTCTCATCCCTTCTATTCTTTCCCCGGGTCTTTGGTTGCCTGTGTTATCCTCATCTGCGTCCTTACAATTGTCATAAGTTGGATCTTCGTTCCTCTCCTTGTATCTTCCTTGATTATCCTGAGTCGTTTCGGGGGTATCAGTGTATGGACCTCCGCACTAACAAAATATTTGTCTGCAGGCATGTCAGATTTGATGAGACAATTTTTGCTTTTGCTACTAAATATGTTGTGCAGTCATCTTTGTCTTCTAGACTGTTGCCTTGGGCGGTTTCCTCACTTCAGTGTCCGTCGGTGGAGTCTGTAGTGACAAAACCTGCTTCTTCTACTATCGAGCTGAAGTCTCGATCTGTTACCGTCATACGCCCTGTGACTCGGACACATGCCATGGTGACTAGGAGTATGGCCCCGACTGGTGTTGTCCCTGCGGCTTTGCTGGCTGAGGTTTGTCCCTTTGAGCCCACATGTTATACACAGGTTGTTCGGTTTCTTGAATGTTGTGCTTCGATGGATATCGAATTTAATACACTTTTGCATAATCAAACCTGGCGTCTGGTTCCTTGTCGCCCCAAGATGAATGTCATTGGGTGTAAGTGGGTCTTTCGCACTAAGCTGAATGATGATGGCTCCATTATTTCATGTGTGCTAATCCAAGTGACATTCAAGTTAATTTTATCTCTACTAAAGATCAAGTGGCAGATATTTTTACAAAGCCTCTAGTCGTATCTAGTTTTTCATTTCTTTGTGACAAGCTTCATGTTGCTAAGCTACCATAAGCTTGAGTGAGAGTATTAGGACTCTATTAGTTTTGTTGTACTGTAACTCTTCTTTATATTTATATTTTGTTGTATTTTGATCACTTTGGTTAATTAACAATATACAAGTTCTCATCATGTTGAATGCATTTTTAAGTACTTCAGGAAAAGGTTTGTGGCTTAATAAGTCTTAATTATATATTCAAAATGCAATCAGTCTCTGACTACAATAATTGAGTAACTTTGGCAAGTATTCATATTTGAATTGTATATTTCTTGTGTTGAAATTTTTGCACAATGCCAAATGCATTTTATATGTGACATTTGTGTGTAAGAAATACCGACAGAAGGAAAACAAGTATACCAACACAAAAAATGAAAATAATGAAATACCAGCCTAACTCGAGCTAAGCTTTGACTCTGCTCATTTGTAGCTAGCCCTATGATGAACTGAGACTTGGACTCATATAGACTCACTGTCTCTCATTTTGGCCGTACAACCTTAAATTTTTTACACTTGCCAGAATGATTGACCAGCTTCGATATGCTCTTGAATTTACTCTTGCACTAACAATTTTCTCTTGCACCAACAATTTTCTCTTGCACCAAATGCACTGTGTGTTCCCTTCTTCATTTTTTTCTTGTCGGCCTTAGTTTTGAGCTCTTTGGCCTGTGCATTAGAGTCACTGTTGGCCTGTGCATTGGAGTCATTGTTGGCATGTGGATTGACTTTATTATTCCTTTTCCCTTACTCTTATTTTTTCTCCAGGCATTGCTGGATTGGAATTCAATTCAAAATACAACAACACCATTTAGGTATGAACTTTAGAATAAATCTTAAAATAACATTTTACCTTTACTTTCAGTAAAAACCAGTAGGACAGAACATATATAAACGTCAAGTTTATTTACATATTCACCAAAATAAACCACAAAGATGATATAAATTTACATAGTTCAATAATATGTTACCAAATAATTTTTTAAAATGCAATACTACTTAAAAAAAAAAACAGTTGATGCGTGATATGTTACTCAGTAATGATCAGTGGCTGTATAAAAGCAATTCATTAGTACTATTCATGGATTTGGTATATTTGAGCTAGTAAATTCACTATTAGAGGTATGACTCTAGAATAAATCTTAAAAAAACATGTTATTGAAAAAGTTCCTCTATTTTCAATAAAATCGAGTGGGACATATGGTATCAGAGCAATTCAAACCTTGGGCATAGAAAATAGAATTGATTAGGCTCTGATACAAGTTTGAGCCTTTGGGAGCCTAGAGTTTGCATTTAACTTTAATAATATGTCACCAAAATAAACCACAAAGATGATATAAATTCACACAGTTCAATAATATGTTACCAAATAATTTTTAAAATGTAGTACTATTTCAAAAAAAAAAAAAAAAAAAAAAACAATTGATGAGTGAGCCTTTGGGAGCCTAGGGTTTGCATTTAACTTCGATTGGAAGTAAGCCAAGGATGTAGTTTAAGGATCACTTTATCCATGATATTATGACCAAACAACCTAGTCAAGTAACTCTGCAAAGGATGCCCACTGAAATGGTGCTTCTAACCCAGTCAAGTAACTCTCAAACCACAAGTCCACTTTTCCAGTCAAATTAACATACATCACTTCAATTCTAGGTATATGAGATAGTTGTAAAAATCTCTCACAACGACTAACCCATAATCTTGGTTGAGTATAATCGGAGGGGGGAATTCATACTGATATCGCACTAGTGGAGAATTTTCAATCGGCCTCTAGATTGCCGGTATTGGAATCCTCCTTTATCTCCATTCTGCCTCAGCCTCTTCCGGATCCACCTCGCTACCGAACTCTGAATGGCCAATTGATCTTCCTTCTAGCCTCACCGGCTCCTTCCCTACCCTCATCGACTGGAAGTTTTGAGCTAGATAGTGACCCGGTTGGTGGCTGGCCGGGGGTTCCTGCCTTGCTCCATTCACCGATGAACCCCCGGGAACATCCATCAATGGAGGTTGGGGTCGGTTTAGGCGAATGGTTTCCACGATTTCATTCTTCCAATCACTCATTCTGATTTTCATCTGAGTGATCAGTTTTTCCACGAGCTCTATCGATGATCGTTTCTGGTGTTCCATTTGGCTACTGAGATCAGCCACTACGAGCTCCAACTGGTTCATACGCGCCTCCATCGAGGGCTTTGATACCAGATGTAACAATCCTAGGGTTTAGATTGAGAAGGGTGAAGAAGAGAAGAGAGAATTGTAGGAAAGAAGAGAGATTCAATCAATGTCATAAATCTTCGCGTAAACTATTACATTGCAAATCTCTGTTTTAATACAAGCCATAACAACTAACTGCCACAATAGCCTAAACGACGTCGCTAGACGAGTTGGTTTTAACTGCTTCTAACGCTGCGTTTTGGAGTTATGTAACTGCCTTCTCCTAATCGCGAGTCATGCGACGACGTTCTGCAGCAACTAGTCTCCTTCGTCTGACCTCTGGGCCATTACAGAAAACAATCAAAATGTTTCTAGTATCTTGGAGGGTAGAAGCAATAAAAAAAGGCAATGGGTATCCACATCCCTGAAGATCAGAGGTGAAATTGTTACTACTCACTGCTTTTACTTCTCATATATGTTGCAAATCTGTTACGATTAGAGTTACTTGTTTCTAACTTCAATCATAAACGTAGTGTTTATAGAAGCTATGTAGGTGGCGTGGGTTGTACAATCATTTTACAGTTGATTTTGGAATTGCCAAGATGTTGAGGAGTTCTGTTCTGATGAACTTGCTTCAATTCCTCTGTAAGTACAATTACATTGGCTGGTTGGCTGGCTATATTGACTATATATGCTCTTAAAATCGGTATGTTGTTTTTGTATTTCTTCCATTGCTTTCCTGCTGCAGTTATTATTGTAGATTGTTAGAACTCCCGGCCAGTTATATGGGCCTTGAGCTTCTTGCCGATAGGTATCTGAATTAGATGTCAGACATAAAATATTTACATATATAATGCAAGAGTTACGTTGTAGGTTAATGTTTGAGATCGAGATGAGTTTAATTTGGCATACACATACATACTACTATTTTTATGCACTGATATCAGTAATATCTTTTTGTGCAGGATGCTGTAAATATGAAATGACTACATTGAAGCCTGCATTCAAGTAAGACATTTGTAAATTTTATACTGTTTATTTATCTTTTTCTTGTCTTGTGTCAAACATTTTATGCTTCACTGACCTATTAAGTTCCAACTTAGGTTTTCAACTTAACCACATTTCGATATAAGAATTCAATATTAAGTTGCACTGGATATGTTGAAAACATGAATAATTTTGCCTTTTAATTTGTTATCAAAGGGTGACCAACATGTAGTATGTTATAGCTAGCTAGCCAGGGAAAATGCAAATTGGTGGTGTTTGCCACAATGTTGTAATGTTGGAATTTTGGACCACTGCTTATCTTGATTGCCACAATATTGAAATTTTGGATCACTTAAAAGTAATTATAAACCTAAAGTTTTTGTTTAGGATTACTTTTTTTGATCAATTTAAACTCTAGAATATATTTCACCTTGTCCTCATAAAATACAAACCAATAATATAAATTTATTTTACATTCAATATATGAATTAAAATATAACAGCTTACAAAATCATAATATCCATGATATTTTTGGCATTTTCTTCAATGAAGTATATGCAGTTATTTCTCACATTTGCATTATTGCTATTAATGCAAAATATGTCTTCAACAAATCCTAAGAAAATGATGCGCTCTCCTATACTTACCATCTCCACCCATTTTCTTGCGCACAAATCTGCTCTAAAGAATCGTATATTTTCTACTTTGTAATGCCTTTTTACAAAGTAAATTTTGGTAACTAATAGGATTTCACCACAACTTTCTATAATATAACCAATAACATACTGACCATTCCATGTTGGTTTTGAAGATGACCCATCAAATAAATCACCACCGATCACTTTTTGGAATTCTACACTTTGATCCTTGAATTCTACATGTATAAAGTGGTGGAATATTTCTTCAACCCATACAAATTTTCCCCAAAACTTGTAAATGATTGTATTAGAGTATCACGACATAACCTTTGCTTCACAAATGCTTGTTCATCGATCTTGCAAAAATTGAAAAATATAATTGTAGGCCGTTTTGCTTTTTAGTTAATACAAAATAAGGAAAATGATCATATGGACTAGATGAAAGGTAAGCAAAATGCGTGATCGATTCCAGTTTTGGAAGTTGCAACCTTTCATGTGAATAAACATTGAAAACTAAGATATCGAAAGTGTTGTCGCAATCATGTAGCACCATCCATCTATCCTTACATTCATGAGCCCTCTTGTATTTGTTGTACATGAAGGAATAATCAATCTTGTAATAATGATGTTGTGTGATAGTATATAGTGTACCTTGTTTATCCTAACTATAATAAAGCTAAATCTTTTTGTTGAAAAACTCCCGCCCAAATGATACGGCGACATTTGGTTACAACATGTATTACACTGTTTTGATCAGAGATACTTCCTTTTCACTATACAACCTCGAGCCACTCAATGGATTACACTGTGTATACCAATTTCCAATGCACGGCCATCCATTGGACTGCCCAAGATTTTTGAATTAGTTTTTTGTTGTACAATTTATCATCTATAAATACTAGATGTTTCATTGAGAAACCCCCACCCCACATTTACACTGAAGCACAAGATTTAGTTTAAGTAGCTCTTCTCACGAAACTTCCTCCATCAGAGAATTGGAGAGACAAATCCTGCACAAAAAAATAAAATGTTAGAACCCTTTTTTTAAACCACACTGTCTACGTACAAGTAATATGAAGAAGATCACTACTTCAACCGTTATTGGAAGAAAAAGGAAACAACATTTTGACAATAAAGGTTGGTTCATCTTGCTATTATTTTTTGTATGTTTTAATTTTTTAAATTGTTAGTATGTCTTTATGAGGAACTCATAGAAAATTGTATAAAATGAGCTTTTTCAAGAAGCAAGCTATGTAACAGAGTAATATCTACCAGTGAATAAGTTGTAGACTTTTCTTATCTTCCTGTGAAAAGGTTTTCAAGAACCAAGTGGTATGTAACAGTTTTTTTCTTTAGATTAAGTCCATTGATCACATTTTGTATAACTTTTTAATTAACATAGTATGTTCCAGTTTTTTTTTTTCTTTTTTTTATATGAAGTCAATAGTTCATATGATCAATATTTTAATTAAAAAGTTTTGGTAAGTGCTAAGAGCAAATACCTATTCTGAAGTGTGTATAAAAAATGTGGGTATGCATATCATGTGTATTCTGAAATAGTTTAGGCATTTGACTACCTTACCTGTAAGTATCCCATGAGTTCCAATTACTGTGTATGAACCAAGAATAGTGGACACAGATTACACCCCAGAAACAGAATACTCCTTGGACCGAGTTCAGAAAAAAAATTGATAGTTAATGTTTAATTAGAAAACATTATGAGGAGGGCAGGAACATTTCTCATTAGAAAGGAAATACTACCAGTTCTGTAACGGTTGAAGCCTACCTTATGATATCCTTTTCTCGGACAAGACTCTGCCCATTCCTTCAATCAATGCAGAGTGCACCCAGAACCAGAATACACCTAGCACCAAATCACAGAAAATACAAAAAAAAAATACTTTTTAGAAAACCTGAATTTCTAGCCGAAACAGTAGCAATGCAAAAAAAAAAAAAAAAATTAAAAATTTCTTAGTTTTAGAAATTGTTAGAAACTTAAATCAAAAGTTAGAAACATGTTATAGTCAAAAAAAATGGACATCTAAAATACGAATTTGTTAATTTTATAAATTGGTAGAAACTTAAATCAAAAGTGAGAAACATGTTGTAGCAGTCAGAAAAAACGGACTAGATCAGTAAGATCACTACCTAAAAAAACCAACTACCTCATGCATGATCCAGATCTAGGATTTAATCTCCATCTATCGCCATTTTAAACTCTTCACACTAAAAAAAAAAACACTAATATACAGATCTAGGATTTCAAGTTCATCTATCGCCATGTTTTCCAACTTGATCTGGAAATATACTACTTTAAAAATTGTAAATACAGATACAAATATATAAAAAGAATAGAAAGTTGGTATTATCTAGAACGAGAGTGATTGTTTCACATTAGCCTTCAGAATCAAGATTTGAAAATAAGTCTCACCAACAGCTTATGCTTGACTTTGTATGCATTATAACAAAGAAATGCAGACAAAGATGTTTCAAAGCTTGCTAAGAATAGATGAGATGAGACTGCCTTCATCGTGAATAGAAATACAAAGCTGTGATAGTGAAGAAAACCTTGAACTAAGATCGGAGAATGAAAGAGGTAGGTGTGAGTGGAGTGGCCGAGTGGGGCAACACAATGTGGTAGGCGTGTACATAGTCTGATTGGGTCGGGTTATGCAAAGGAAATGCGCTGCTGAACTGGGATGGAATTGGGCCTATTTTATAATATCTGTATCAAATTATTATTTGATACATATTTGATTTTTATGCTTAATATATATGTTGTGTATGTTTTATTGTTTGTAGTAGTATACATATAATAGATGAGAATTTATGGTATGCACCAGGGCGCGCGTTTCATTGTGCGCCTTGATACAAAACGATGTCGTTTTAGATTATTTTTATTTTGAAATTTAGCTACCAAGTGTTATCGGTTAATTTTTCTTTAAAAAAAGAATTTCACGTTTAAAAATGTACATAATTTTATACTAGAATACATATAATTGTATAAACAAATACAAATATTTGTATAAACAAATACACATAATTGTATAAACAAATCATAATCACGTCAACTCCCTACTGCGCCTCTCAAAATGACGTCGTTATGGGAGGTGCGAGGCACACAGTGCTATGTGCATCGTGGTGCAGGATATAACGATTGATGATAGATTGTTTCTAATATTCTTCATGTATTTTCCTCACAACTGTTTGTGTTTCATTTGCTTCATACTTATTACTTATTTATTATACATCACTTTTTGAATATTTTGCAGAAAATATTCACCAAGTTGGCAGAACACGTAATAGAAGCAAAAATATCTACAAGGAATCATGTAGGTACTAGGGTGTTGGTTTCTCGAATGGCTATGACACCATCAGATCCAAGATTGCTATTCAAGTTTAAGATAATACAATTTTCATTAATGCTTTCATATGCAATGACTATAAATAAAAGTCAGGGACAAACGTTATCCCATGTTGGATTGCTACTGAAGAAGCCAGTTTTTGTACAAGGACAGTTATATGTACCCGCATCTAGAGTGGGCAATCTTAAAGGTCTCAAGATTTTGATTTGTAATAAGATGGACAATAGTTGTAATTCAACAACTAATGTAGTTTACAAAGGGGTCTTTAATAATTTGTAATTTAAAATAATAATTTCTCATTTTATAACACTTATGCTTATTACGTAGTATGTTTAAATCCCAAATTTGAAATCTTACAAGAATTGTAATATCCACAAAAAAAAATAATTATCTTACAGTAAACAAACATAAGTTCATTAAGGCTAAAATTTTGATCCGTGCATCGCACGGGTATCATACTAGTTTTGACAAATAAGAGCTAAGGGTGTGAGAAAGTTCATCTACTTTCAGTTAGGGGTGTTAGTGAACAGAGCTTTCAACAAACTACTCGTGTTCGTGTTCGGTAAGCGTTCGTTTGTTAAGGTAAACGAACCATTAACAAACAAAATTTAGAGCTCGGTTAATAAAAGAACAAAGCTTGAACAGTTGTATGCTCGTTTGCTAAGAGATCGTGAACTAGTTCGTTTGTGTTCGTTTAATAATGTTCGTGAACATGCTCGTTTGTGTTGTTTAATAATATTTGTGAACAAGCTCGTTTAGTGTTCGTTTAATAATGTTCACGAACATGTTCACAAACATATATACATAGATTATATTGTGATCATGAACGTTGATTATTTCTTGAACGTAGATTATTTGTTGTTCACGAACGAATTGTGATCATGAACATGTGCAGGTGTTTGGTTATTAAAGGTTCACGAACTTGTTCATGAACGTAAACCAACATGTTCGTGAACGTACTTGTTAACGAACACATTCGTGAACGTGTTCGCGAACGTTAACAAACACATTCGCTAACATGTTCGTTAACGTAAACGAACACGTTCGTGAACATGTTCGCGAAAGTTAACGAACACTAATGAATGCTTAATAAACGAACACGAACAGAATTTTCAAAAACCTTAACAAATGAACACGAACACGAACACGAACACTCCAAAATTCTTAACAAACGAACACAAACAACCTCCATTCGTTTATGTTCGGTTCGTTAACAGCCCTACTTTCAGTAAAATCCGGTGGTGGGACAGATGGTATCAGAGCAGTCCGAACCTTGGGCATAGGAACTAGAATTGATTAGACTCTGATACAAAGTGGTATCAGAGCAGTTGAGCCTTTGATTATTGGCATATTACTATGGTGTCTTGTAATTTGTTGAGATATTTGAACTTGGTAAATTTATTTGGATTTGATTGTTTATTTATTTGGTTACGTACTTACTCTTTTTTTTTTTTGGGGGGGGGGGGGGGGGGGGGGGGAGATTGTTGGATTATTTTGGTAATTGATATGGATTGGGTAAGGACTTGTTAGACATAAGTATTTCATATGCCCAAGGTTCAACCTACCATGGTACCATAATCGTCATGGCAAATCCATAACTTCACGCCATTTTAAAAGTGGTAACATTACACAATAAATTATCATATACAAATTATACATTTTACTACAAACACTAACTAATATTTGTCTTAGGTAAAGACGACAACAACAACAACAATAACAACAACAGCAACAACAGCAACAACAACAGCAACAACAACAACAACAACAATAATAATAATAATAATAATAATAATAATAATAATAATAATAATAATAATAATAATCTATCTAATCTAATCTAATCTAAAGCAACAACTTCCAGAAATTTTTGTTTTCCCGCCGAATCAAAACTGCGTCGTTTTACGTAGATGATTTAGTTATACGTTTTTAATTATTTTCACATTGCTTTAAAGCCACTGATAAGGTTTAACATAGCTTAATGATCAACGGCTGAAGTTTTATGGGAAGTTGCTTAAACCCTTTCGTATTCCGACGCCGTCTGCTGTGTATCAATGTAGATATTATTAATGACACATCGTTTTTATCATTAAATAGGATACATTCATATATGTTGTTCATGGAGTTCTATAAATTCCATATTGTAGGTGCAGGTTTTTCATACATACATTACATATACAAATACTGAAGAAATATGAATGATTACAAATACATAGAGAAATATACTAACGTACAATTGTTATGGCTCCTAAGTTTATCCGAAGATGACTGCAGAAGGGTACTGCTGCGGAATAGGGCGGTAGTGGAGGAAACCCAAGTCAGATTTGCTCGATGGATGGCGGAATGGAGACCATGCTTTGACTCGCTATTGGCCCTGGTATGGATTCAGTTCTCAAATCTGCCATTTCATTTATTTGCTTTACATATGATGAGGTGATTGTGGGAGCTGATTTGTGAGTTGTTGCTATGGTATGTTGCGACATGGAGAAGGTTGAGGCCGAATGTTGCAAAGGTGTAGGTGGAAATTGATTTGCGAAAACCATTGATAGATCAAATATGAATAGAGATTGGGAGGATGTGAAAACGATTGTGTGAGCTGATTGGTTGCAATGTGCTGCAAGAGGAAATACATTGATGCAAATAGAGGTAAAATACTGTATACAGGATTATTTATGTTATGTATGAATATTTTTTATGATTCTCTGTAGTATACACAGTGAAACATTGTTTATGTATTCATGTATTATTGAGTGTTGATATATAATTTTATAGTTTAATTTACTTTTATCTTATTTGTGTAAGCGTTCTATTATACTTCTTTGATTAAAGCAAGCCTAATGAATTTATAAATGAAAAAGATTACTTTCTATATGAAGAAGAGCGTGTACCTGTCTGCAAATATATGGAGCTTCCAATCTCCTGTTAAGGGGTAGTGAATATATGGAGCTTCCAATCTCCTGTTAAGGGGTAGTGAATATCTAAGGGGGTTGGTAAAAATTTAAACCTGCAAATTACAAATTGTTAGTTTACTAAGACCAAATAATAGTATGAATGCAAAGTAATAAAAATGAATGGGTTTAATACATACCTTCATAGTTTAATATTATCTTCTTTTTCTTCTTAAGAACTGCAAATACTAATTATAATTTCAATAATTAGAATTACCACTACAAAGTGACATAGATTGACCAAATTATAGTATCAGTAATTAGAATATGACCTAAAACACATGGCATGATCTAAGTGAAAGTATGTTTCTTAGAGGATAAAATATGGATAGAGATTTGGAGGATGCTATGATTAACAGAGAAGCTTGGTTGTAATGTGCTACAAGAGGAAACACATTGCTGCAAATAGAGGTAGCAATGTATAGTAGACATGATTATTTATGTTATGTATGCATATTTTTATAATTCTCTGTAGTATACGGTGAAACATTGTTCATGTGTTCATGCATTGTTAAGTGTTAATATATAATTCTATAGTTTAATTTACTTTATCCTAAAGCAAGCCTAATGAATTTATAAATGAAAAAAGATAACTTTCTATATGAAGAAGAGCATGTACTTGTCTGCAAATAGGTAGAGCTCCCAATCTCTTAGACCAGTTCTCATATATCCAGGATGTCAAAAGATCGAAGACAATTGTAATCAAGGAGGAAAAGAATTAAAAGAAATGTTGGTTTCTATTGAGTTTATTTAAGGGCTAATGTGTATGATGTACCATGTGTAAGTACGACTAAAGATGTTATGTACAGAGAAGTTTTTAGTAATCTGTAATACAATATAAAAGTTAATTATTATTTAGTAATTATCTAAAACTATTCTTTTATTTTAATTTTTTCTACGGTTAACATTGTCGATTATATTTGTCCGTGTATCGCACGGGTGCAATTACTAGTAATAATAAGAGCCAGTGGTGGTGGTGGTGGTGGTGGTATGTGTGTATGGGGGAGGGGGGGGGGTGGTTGAAGTAGTGGTGAAGATGGATGTGTTGTGATGGTTGTGGTTGTGGTAGAGGTGGTGGTGTGTGTATGTGCGAGGGGGGGGGGGGGGGGGGGGGGGAGGTGGTTGAGGTAGTGGTGAACTGGTGAGGGTGGATGTGTAATGTGTTGTGATAGTTGTGGTTGTGGTAGAGGTAGTAGTGGTGGGTGGTGGCGGTGGACGGTGGTGGAGTTGTGTGGTGGTATGGTAGTAGTGGTGTGGTGGTGGAGGTGGATGTGGATGTGGTGGTAATGGTGGTGGTGGAGGCAATAATTATAATATGAAAGAGAGATGAAAGATAAAAGAAAAATGGGAAAATAAAGATTCCGAATAATGTCTTTACACAAACAATTTAGGAAGATATTTTTTGTCAAATTGAACATTTTTTTCATTGACGGGAATAAATATTTTTACTTTAACTTTATTTTCTATGAACACCAAAAAAAAAAAAAAAAACTTCCAGAAGTCATTTTTTTCGGTTCCCAAACGGACCCTAAGAGCTTTTTGTGGGTTCTACTTGGAGGAAGAAAAAAAAAAAAGTAATGGTACTGGTGCGTGTTTCACGCCTACTAGGTGTGTAAATGGTAACATGATTTATTATTATTATTAGGTAGAACTGTTAAATAGGCCCATCTACCAGCTAAATTTGTTCAATTGACTTTTTTGCAGGTTGCCTATTCAATTATTAAAAAAATATTTAAAAAAAAAATCAGCCACCGGCTGTGCGCGCTGGGCAGCCGATGGCTGCGTATTTCACAGCCCGGACAGCCACGGCTATCAAACATGAGGTCCAGATCTAGCAGGCGGCCACGGGTCAGAACATGAGGTCGCCGGACAGCCACGGCTGTCTGTAAAATATGCAGGTGCGGACCGCCGGTGCCTGAAATTCTTATATATATATATATATAATTGAATAGCTAGGCAACATGTTAGTAACCTGCAAAAAAAAAAAAAAAATCAATCGAACAAATTTAGCTAGTAAATGAGCCTATTTGATACTTAATTTAGTTCGTGGTGAGAATTGAGTACTTCACAATAGTAGATGGGCCTATTTGACACTTTTCCCTTATTATTATTATTATTATTATTATTATTATTATTATTATTATTATTATTATTATTATTATTATTATTATTATTATTATTATTATTGCATTTTCCTTTTCAA